CTTCCTCATTTAATTTAGACACTGTCACAGAGGCCCTGAAAGAAAGGACCCTGAGGGGAGGAAGGTGAGGTTCCTTCCCATCAGAAGGGGCTGTTTCCCATGTTAAGATCATAGACAAGGTTCTGTTTTACAAAGAGAGATGTACTTTTGGGGGGGAGGTGGGGAGTCATCCCCATGTCAGCAACAATGAAGTCTAAGGGCTAAAGAAGGCCATGTAGGGTGAGAGTCCAGAGAGAGGGACACAAGACCAGGTGTCAGGAGACCCATGGGAATAGGCCAGTGACACTTTCTGGGCTTGTTTCCTCATCAGCAAAATGAGGGCAACAGCTATATTCTCTCTAAATTCTTTCATAACTCCATGACTCCATGTTGTGGAGAATCTTTCCATCCTGTATTTTTGTGTGGCATAAATGAAAGAAGAATTGATAAATGCACAAATGAAGTGAACCATTCAGTGAAGCCTCTGAAACATCTTTCTTATACCGTCTTCCTGATATCCCCGCCCTTCTGGTGTGGCTTTACCTTTCTGCCCCCAACCTCCACAAGGTGCACCATTATAGCTCCTGGCTGATAAGGGACCTGCTCCCCATTCCAGGGTCCCCACTAGCCTCAAGAGGCCAATCTACTGCTCTCCACCCACTCCCATCCACTGCCTGCAGGACCGTATTGCTTGGAGGAGTAGCAATGATTCTTCAAGAGGGGGAGACTTCCTTTTAAAACACATCATCTCCTGACCTGTTGCACGCCCTGGTCTCTAAATTTGCCTGTCATGGTGGGAATGATCCAGCTCCCAAGGTGGACAAACGACCCTGGGTGAAGTGTGCAGGTGAAAATACTAAAGGACATGCCTCCAAGAACAACACTCAAGTCAGGTCTGGGGGGCAGAGGGTGGCCCAGCCCAGTCCCCACATCAACCCCAGGCCAGGATGTGTTCCTTAGAGGGCATGTGAAGCTAGAAGTCAGACAAGGATCTCTTACTCACTTTCTGGCTGCTCTCTGCCTTGTTTCTGGGGAGTGTTTACAGGTCAGGAGTTGTTACAGCAAAGGGGTATCTTCTCAGACTCATCAAGAGAGAGAGTTCTACCACCAAACACTAGCCCCTGCCCCAGAACTGGTCACACTGCATTTTAATTACAAATTCACCTCCATCACTACCCTCTTCCTACTCCCAATGATTTAGTCATCTTCATTTCTCCCCAGGTTGCTTGGCTTAAAAAGAATTTGATCAATGTTAGCTGACTGACTGAAAGAACAAGTGAACAGACATAATCCTGTCTATCTTCCATAATGGAAGATCCTGAGAGACAGAGATGTCAGTTAACCTGCCCAAGGTCATACAGCCAACTACTGGTTGGAGGAGCCACAGCTGAAAGTCAAACTGGCCCTGTCTTAGCTCCTCCACTAAATGATGTGGAAAGGGAGCTAACAGTAACTGAGCATCACCAGAATGCTGTGTCACAAGGGTGTAAGGGGGATGTTATCATTGCAATTTTATAGACGAGAACACCAAGGCTCAGAGGGGTGCTCTCTGCCTAGATTGCTCCTCTCACTCTTCCCACCCACTGACTCCTGCCTGGATAACAAAAATTCATCTTTCATGCTTCAGCATAGAAGTTGTTTCCTTCAGAAAGCCTTTCTTCCCCGGTCCCCCAGAATTTGGTGGTGCCCCTCCTCTGCTGTCCCACAACCTTCTAAGCTTCTGTTCCTGTGGTGGCCATTTTTGCAGAGTGCTATCATTGATTGTTTCAGCATCTGTCCCCCACATCAAACTTTGAGCTACTCAAGGGCAGAGAGTAAGGCTGTATTTCAAATACTGAACTCTCAACACTAGGCAAAATGCCTGACACACAGCAGGAGACCAGTAAGGATTTGTGGAAGAAAAAAGGAAGGAAGAAAGGAAGGAAAGAAAAGAAAAGAAGGTTCCCAAAGCCACAGAGTTGGGAAGTAGGGAAGCTGAGATTTGCATCCATGCCTGCCTTGTTCCAAAGACTATACTCTTTCCATGAAAACATACCACCTCCTCTTGAGCATAGAAACCCTTTTATTATAATTCTTGTGACTTTGTCTTAGAACTTGGCACATTACCATTCTCAACTGACATGTGTTAAACAACAGAATTATGCTTTCACAGGTCAGGGACAGTGGGTGTGATATTCTGGGATGCCTGTGGCCCCAAAGGCATAAGGTGGGTGCTCATGGCGGGTGCTCCACGCATACCTGCAGCATGAGCTGGTTTATGTTCAGTCCATCCCACTGTGATGATGATAGTGACTCAGATCAGGGAAGGACTAGCCACTGGCCCTCATGATGCCATTCAAGGCTTGTGGGATGGGACCGACTAGAAAGATCAAGACACTAAAATGACGGTCAGGCTCAAGTTTGTCTAAGTGTGTTAGGACTAAAAGAGGCATATACTGATGCAAAATACCGTGTTTAGGAGTGGTTTCTGGATTTTAAACTCAGCTCGTGAGAATGCAAAAGAGGTAGTTTCCCTGGTCTTAAAATAATGGACTGAAGAGTTTTTATTATTGTGCATTTCTCCCCCTGAGAAGCTTACAAAGGGCATAGCATACAAAGTACAATGAAAATAAAAATTATTTACTTGAAGATCAGTAAACATTTTTTCTCTCTCGGAAAATTTCAGTTCTCTCTCTACTCCCTACCCCCACTCCTAGACCAACACAGCTTCCACAGATTTTTGAGATTTTATTTTAATAAAGAACTTTAATAACTTTTGAAGTTGTACACCACATGTGACCTTTGATGTTACTGTGAACTCTACAGGCTATGATTTGGGACAATGGCCAAGGCAAAGGCAGAGCTGGGGATTGGGGAAATGACCAGCCCATGAGTCAGGAGAGAGCTCTGCCTCTGCCTTGCTGAGTACCTGTGGGCAAGTCCCCATCTAGTTTCCTTCTCTGTGACAAGGGCACAAAAATGTCTCTTTGCTGACTCCTTCGCCATCCAAAGATCTCCTGAGATACTACCTTGGGGATATACTTTAAAAGGCAAAGGTACCTACAAATAAATATAAGTTAGTTAGGGTAAGAGCACATTTATCTAAACAAATCAAAGAGGAATGAAGCTTTAGATAAAAATATATTATCTAGATAATGATATCCTTCTTGAATGCAAAATTATATTTGATTTAAATTTTGGGAATAAAATCTGTGTTTCTATACTAGAATATTCCCTTTTTCAAGCAAAGTGCACTGACTTTGTGCTATTAATTATTGTCCTCAGGAGCAACAGAGGCTATGAACTTGTTATATTGATTTCCTCAATACTGGTTGGCCTTTATCTTTTACAACTCTGGATTCATGTGTTCTGAAAGAGTTTTTCTGTCTTTTCCTCTTGGCAAGCAGTCATTTTTCTCTCAGTCAAGGCTGCTGCCTTTCAGATTTCCTCTGATTCTTGCTTCTAAACCACTTTAGATAAGAAAGCCTAAAAACCTGGTTAGTTAAAATCTGGTACAATATAAGAGCCTATTAAATTCTTCTATGAGTAAACCAAAGGAGTTTTACACATCTTTATGTTAATCTTCCTAAGGTCATGTGCCTCTCTGCACAAAAGCTTTTTAATGCTTCCCATTCCTACCAAAACAAGTCCAAACACCCCAAGCTGATACAGTTTTCAAGGCTTTCCATCATCTGTCCTCAAAGCACATTTGTAGTACTCCTTTTTAGTATGCTCCGGGTGTTTTCCCAAACTCATGAGTGCCGCCCTTGGCCTCCTCTTGCACCTTGAAACACTGCCCACCGTCCGAGGCCCACCTCCTTCCTGAAGTCTCCCTCATGCCCTCAGTTACAAATAACTTCTCCA